GTGATTTAGCCTCGTTCCCGCAAATTGCTCCTGTTGTCAGGGTGATCTAGTTGGGCGCACCTCGCCTGGAGACCAGAGCAGTCATGCTCAATTCTTACGTGAGGCCGTGAACTTGGTACATTCTTAACTGTTTCACCGGCATCGTCAGGCGGTTGAGCCGTTATCAGCATCAGCCGTTATCGGTGCCTAATTAAAATTGCCTAAAAATGAGCCGGATTCGAGCCTAAGACATGTCGACGGACGCATATGCTGGCCACTCTTTCTCTATCATAAATTTGACATGTTTAAGCGAAGGTATGAAGGCCAAGATGGTGTAGCATGTGAATAGTCGCAGTCTCCTTTTGTTGTATAGAAGTTGTTTGACCTTGTTTTCGCAAATCGGTCATAATGGTAGGAAGACTTAGAGGAACGCACCTACTCCTGAGTCCATTGTTTGCATAATCATTTCCAAAATCGGACTGTGGACGTGGTAAATTCCCAGACGTTTCGCCGGCCTCGTGGCCTTTACCACATGACCACGTTTCTCATAAAACCTACTGTCAACCCACTAGCTCCCATCGCCGCCGCGTCTCTCCTGTCTCTATCCCTACTACCAAGTCTATGACTTCCCATGCCCTAGTCTCTTGTTCGCCAACCCATAAGCGTTGTGGTTTAACGTTGAACCTAGTCAAAGCAAGCAGTTCCACAACATTTGTGGGTTGGCACACAAGAGACTAGGGCATGGGAAGTCATAGAGTTGGTATTAGGGATAGAGACAGGAGAGACAGACGTTGCGGAGATCGCAGCCAATTGGCTGACAGTAGATTTTACCATACACGTGGTCCATGAAGCAAAGACGTGACCATGAGTATTACGCCCGGTCTTCAGCCACAAGTTAGTCTCCCAGAGACAGAGTGTGGCAAATAACGCCTCGAGAAGCACAGATGGGGTGGCAGGGGTCGGGTGAAATACTTAATCCGGGGAGATAGCAGACGGATCCTATGGGGCAAAAAATGGCAGGGGCATGAGAGAGCAACAATCAGAAGCCAAGAGGAGACATCTTCAGGGAGCCTAATCAAAACGAGTGAAACCACGACATTTGTGGGTTGGCACAAAAGAGACTATGACGTAGGAAGCGATGGACATGGTATTAGAGACAGAAACAGGAAACACTAAAGCTGCTTGGCTAACAATAGACGTGTTTGATCATAAACATGATCCTGAAATCACGACTATTGTTAGCCAACCAGCTCTAGCTTCCACTGTTTAAATCCTGTTTCTATCCCTTATACCAATTCTACTACTTGCTATGCTCTAGTCTCTTATGTACCAACCCACAAATGTTGTGAGTCAACATTGAACCAAATCAAAACAAGCTGTACCACAATATTTGTGGCTTGGCACACAAGAGACTAAGGCATTGGAAGTTATTAACTTGGTATTAGGGGTGAGAAGGCCATCGTGGAGTGCGGAGGGTTCTCATGAAAGCCGCTCAGGAGGGCACACCGTACCACATTTCATTGAGCAAGTAAAAAATGGTGACAGTGAAGGTGTGATTTGAGGATATGGGAAATGTGAATAGGCCAGGATAGAAGGGAAGATACCACAACTGTTTAGCACACGTTTGGTCAAAGGATCGGCTTCACTTGTATCTTTGACGATTGGTTATATGTTGCTAAGACTGGCGAGACTCACTGACGATGTCGGCGAAATGTTTGGGAATGTACCACGTCCACAGACCGACTTTGGAAATGATGATGCATACAATGGACTCCGAATAAGGTGCGTTCCTCTAAGTCTTCCTACCAACATGACCGAGTTGCGAAAACAAGTTCAAACAACTTCTAAAATTTTATGCTCTACTTTTATGTGGCTAGCATCATTTTTTCCTCATGTCCGTATGAAACTACCGCTCTTTTGGCAGCTCCTTCCAAGCCGCTGGACCTGAAATTGGTCTCAAATACTGAATCCGGTATGGAGTTCAGCTGGTCCCCGCCAGAACACCAAAACGGCGAGATCAGAGACTATGAGCTGTCAATGATCCCGACCTCCGAGTCTTCATTTGCTGCGCCGATCACTGTCAATGCTGCCTCTCTTCTCACAGCTACCGTGAAGGAAGCCTTAATCGAAGTGACGCAATATTCAGTCACCGTGACTGCAACTACGATGACTTTAGAGACCGGCAAAGGAGGTGGGAGAGGTCCACCAAGTGACACTATCACGGTGATGAGTCTACCAGGACGTAAGTTATATGAATTATTAGAAAAGACAGGCATAGAGATCATCGGCGGACGTTAACTAAACACTTTATCTTGTGTCTCTATACGACTAAGGAAGTTTGCTTTGATCCCAAATAGGAGGATCAAAAGCGAGACAGAAGCTCGTACAACAGTTTTGTGCATAGTCGTAATCCATTTTCTCGCCAATCGGAAGAGTTTTCCCATTTCAAAAGGAGTAAATTATAAGTCTTGAATTGTTTGACTTTGTAGCATTGTCGTGACTTTAATAGACTTCATGCAAAGACAGCCGCGGGAAAGGTATCTTCTGTTGTGCTTACTTCCGTTTCGAGTGAAAGTGTTTTGGTGAATAGATTCGAAAGTCGGTTCCACCAGAAGATGACGGCGGATTCCTTTTGACCAGCTGTCGTTTGGCTTTACTGGAACATTCATGCTAACGCTGTTTCCGAGGCATTTCCAATATCACATTTCTGTGGGGGGATTTCCGACCAATCGAACTTGTAATTGCTATAACAAACGACTGCATTATGTATTTTCAGTTATAGAGTGAAAAACTCTCATAAATCTGATTAACTGGTAGTCTTGAAACTCTGCTTATAAATAAACGATAAATAATGTATGCGAAGAAAAGTTGGGTTTCGAGGAATCTCTTGTTTCATAATTGTTGAGCTTACTTCAATTTCGAGTGAAAGTGTTTTGGTGAATACATTTGAAGGTCGATTCCACCAGAAGACGACAGCGGATTCCTTTTGACCAGCTGTCGATTGGCTTTACTGGAAGATTCATGCTGACGCTGTTTCCGAGGCAATCTCCTTCGATTCGACCAGCTGTCGATTGGCTTTACTGGAAGATTCATGCTGACGCTGTTTCCGAGGCAATCTCCTTCGATTCTGGTGAAAGGTGCTAAGCTTTCGACTGTCACATCACAAACATCATCAGAGCCAGGTATCATCATCACAACAAAATTCAAGCTAACATGTCAAGAAAACTCTTCGTGAAAATCCCTAAAAAGTGGTATCTATACTCTACATCTGGCTTCTTTGATCAAGTATAAAGTGATTTGTTTAGTTAAGCTCATGTGTGTGTGTGTCTGTCTGTCTGTCTGTCTATGTATGTGTATGCTGTCTGTGTAACAAAGAGCTACAGTTCGTCAAATTGACGAGTAAAGCCAATTACCGTTCAGATAAGAACTAATGCAAGGGTATGAAGAGGAGGTGGATTTCGAAGAATCCATTCGTAGCTTGATACTGACATAACTTCAATTTAATTTGAGAAAGCGGGTGGAAATGATTCGTAGATTAGCCTCATCGAATACCGAATTAGGGTTTTCTTTGGCTTTTGTCAGATAACTTGTGCGAAAAAGGCCTCGGTTCACCCTCCTACGACCCCGATGGCTCCGTGCTTAACTCTTGTCCGCCATTTCGCGCACGTCGTCAGAACCAGAAAGCCTGAACCAAGAAAGGTGACCAGCTGAGATCATACTTACTTCTTATACGATATGTATCAAGAATTCAGTCTGGTCGCAATTGGTATTACTAATTTGTTCCGTGATAATGTCGTATTATCATTAAAAACTATTAATAAAAGCAGTACCTTTGTAATATGTTTCCAGGCTTTACATAACTGCTAACTAAGGCTGATCAAAAATTGTTAAGAACCAAAGTTTTATTATAAGTAAAATAGCATCACTTGTTGTTGGTGGACGAGTTCGCTGAAGGGGAGCAAATGTCACGTTTTGACCGTAAATGAAAAAGGGAAGCAAAGAATAGATATTTGTGCGAAACCGTTGCGTAAAGTGTGGAAAGGGTCGTCCTAAGGTTCTATGCTGGCCGCTCACTCTTTTCAACATGGGATCATTGTTTAAAATACCTCGCTCACCAAAACTCCGATTGGAGAGACATTGGATGAGCCTTGAACGTAGGAGGGACAACTTGCTGGTTCAAAAGTACCAAACGTTAAACGAAGAAAGGAGAGCCAAGCAAAAACTTTAAAATGCAGGAAGGTCAAAATCATTGCGAATAATTCCTGCCACAAGATTTTATATTATTCAAAACTATACTATAAAGAGCGATTTTAGCATATAAATTAAAGAAATTAATAATATTTTCAAATGGTACAATTTATAATTTCTTTCAGATGTACCATATTAGCTAAGGCGGCTCAAAACATTTAAAGCACCAAAAGTTTATTATAAGCAAATAGAAGGCAGCATCACTTGTTGTTGGAGCAACCACCTACTCAAAAGTACTTCATGAGTAGTATGCCTTAAATTTTGAGATTGTTCCATGGCTGATGGACAGCAAAAAGATGGTAAAAATATTTACTTTTACATTCCTGCACAAATCTATCATTTTAATATTTCTACTCAGAGAGGTGGACTTCGAACCGCATCAAGTTGATGCTACTTAACCCTTTAAAGTATATTCAACACCGTTGCTTCATGCATTCCACCATCTCTCCTCCAAGTTTACAATTGTCACCACCACGTTTTGGTGTCTTTATTGCAGCAAATTTCTGTTTTATTCTAATTGCTTCTTTTTTCATCTCGAGCATTTACTTTAGTATTCTTCCTTTTATCCATATTTAATGAGGAGATGTTATATGCTTTTCGCTACACTTTTCTGCACATAAAACTGAATTGCTTGGCGGGCATCAAAAAGAGTTTACATGACAACTGTCTGACGATAACTTGGGCTTCTGCTCTGCTGTTTTTTGTAGTCTGGAGCACGACAAACTGAATTTGTGCTCCTATTACATGCGTCCCAATGACAATTTATGACTCTTACCAAATACACTTACGCATTATTCAACTTGGTACAACCGAGACTCAGCCACATGCCCATTTTGTTGGTTCAAGTTTGATGCCACGTTTTCACCGAGACCAAAGGAATCCGCCTCAAGAAAAGAGTCTGCAATAATGGTTTTATAAAGTTAACTGACAATTGTTAAAAAGGAATCCACCCACACCTTCTGGCGGAATCTCAGACTTTTCCTCGAAGTGAAAGCGAGTTCAGCAAGTGTACACCCAAAGACTGCTTAAGGCCCAACTCCTCCTTGCATTTAAAGTGATTGCAACTGCGACCATCTGAGAAGTATTTGCGCCAGACAGTGGAGCTGGTTGCTTAATGTCTTCCAGCACTTATTTCCGCCAAATAGCATTATCTAATGCCACCTCTGGTGAGAACCCCCTTGTTTTATTTTCCAGAACCTTCTGCACCGCTTGCCTTCTCCTACGCCAAACCGACCGCCAACTCAGTCACAATGAACTGGATCAAGCCGGCAAACATAAGAGGCACTCTTGCCGGCTACACTTTGTCCATTGAAGCGACTGAAGACGCCTACGGAGTTAAGCTGCCCAAAAAGAAAGAGATTGTAGTCAAAGTGGAGGCTGACACGAGCGAATACATGCCAACCGGACTGGA